CATTTTCAGTTAACAGAGAAATGGTGCAAAGAGTCCTTTATTTGGTGTAAAGTAGAGAGAAAATACCTTTAGTTAACAGAGAAATGGTGCAAACAGTCCATTATTTGGTGTAAAGTAGAGAGAAAACATTTTCAGTTTACACATTCTAAGTTCTTTGTTCCTAAACACAAATAAAGCTCCCTACCAAAACAGTTCTTGATTCCATTGTCATCAGGACGACACAACTTGTATCCTATACATCCACTGTCATCTTCACAAACGTTTGGAGAAGGAGCTAAAGATGGAAAGAACAAAGTTTTATCATTTAAAGAAGAGCTTCTTTGTCTTCTTTCAAGTTATCTAAACACCATTACTTCTGTCTTAATGCAATAAACATGCTATTAAACATGATAATAGTAACCTAATGATAAGGGTTAACACAATTTTTCACCTCTTTCTACTTTAGCTCCAAATATTTTTGTATAAGAACATCAACTTAAACTACATCTAAAAGTCAATTTTCAAACTGTTTAATTAACTCAGTAAACTAACTATTCTTCACAGTCCTAATAAAACCCCAAAACAAACTTCTAAAACAAAAACTATTCTTACGCTGACATCCACGTTGGTGGTCCTGGGGGTTACCAAGGAAACCTGGCAAACATTCACAAACTGGTTGATGAAGCTTACCAAAACACTCAGCATTAAGTCCACAACGGAATCCAATACAAACATCTGAAATTCATCAGAAAAGCATTTCATTTTCAAGCAATATAGAGTATAGAATCGATATGAATGATAATTTTTTTATACCAACTTTGTTAAAACGCAAATTTAACAACACACAACACAATGGAAATTAGAAAGTAGTTTTTTAATCAAAAACAGATTTATGCCACAAAGTCGATATCATCTATCCAGTTGTTTCTTCTATTTATTGGAGCTAGTTTTATTAAAATGCTTTAAATAATTCTAATTATTTATAAACAATTTTCAATTAGGACGGCTCTTTAAGAACATAATAAAAAGGTTGTAAAAATATGCAAGTTACATAAAAAAAATTGTTTTTTTTTTAATACTAATGAAGATATTTTCAATAGGAACTAATCACTAAAGGCATTAATTTATAATTCTAAGTTTATTTTCTCACCAATACAATCTTTGATGCCACTAGGTAGAAGCTGGCAAACTGTATTGCTGGAACATTCATTATTACTTCGGCATTTGTCTTGAGGCGGAGCTACGTAGAGAGAAATGTTCCCATTATCAAAAACTTTAAAGCATTGTCCAAAAATGTACAACAGATTTTTTTTAAACCAGAGAACTAATCTTTACAAGTAATATATTAATTTTTTAGCTGACTGAAATTATGCAGAAAATAGAAAATCAACATTAGACTTGTCTTACAAAACAGTAAATACAGAAAATCAACATTAGACTTGTCTTTCAAAACAGTAAATACAGAAAATCAACATTAGACTTGTCTTTCAAAACAGTAAATACAGAAAATCAACATTACACTTGTCTTACAAAACAGTAAATACAGAAAATCAACATTAGACTTGTCTTTCCAAACGGTAAATACAGAAAATCAACATTAGACTTGTCTTTCAAAACGGTAAATACAGAAAATCAACATTAGACTTACTATTGTTATAAAGCTACGTGAAGGACAAATCAGGATTCTTGTGACATACCTGATGTACAACCGATTTTAACCCCCCCCCCCACAAGAGAGTGCAACAAAATCAATTATTTAGAAGTATTTCCAATGTAAACACTTTTCTAATATTCTTTGCTTATGAAAAGCTAAAGATCAGTAAATTACGTTACTGATATGTCTGTATGTGATTTCTTAATGCAGATTTGATCTGATGTTACTTATCATGTGACTGAAGTTTTTAAAATTTTATACAACAATGTGTAATTAGCCATAAAGGCAGTGTAGGATTAATACTTACGATAACATCCTCTGACAAAGTCAAATGGATTACCAATGAACCCAGGGAGACATTCACAAAATGCTTGATGACCTTGCCCTATACACTGGGCTTTAGTTGCACACTTTACATCAATACACACGCCTAGATTGAAGAAAAGTAAGAATAAGATGTCTATTTTTGTTTGTTTTAGAAATAATATGAACAGAGAAACGTAGAAAATGGTATTTTTTCACGCATGTGTCAATATTAAAATCTAGTAACAGGTAAACAATTCCATGTTAATAAGAAACAAGAAAATTATCTTAAAGTTTTTAAACGAAACTACGTAAGAAAACCTTTCCATTTCAGACATTAAAACATGTTTAACTCGTTAGGTTTAAATAACTACAAAACTCGTTGTAGTGGTAGCAAAATTATTAAATACTTTATTATTGGGATCTGTATTAGTTATATACGGCCTGATATGGAGATTCCCCATAAAAAGATGTAAGGTATACTTACTGATACAATGTCTTATACCACTTTTATCTGGCCTGCACACATGAGGATCTGGACAGCTTCTGTCACTGTCACAAGCATGGGGAGTTGGAGCTGAAACGTAAGTGTTTACATTGCTTATTATATTACTTTAAGACTCGTCTCACATCAACATAAAGTTTACAAATGAATAGTTAAACTATTAAGGACCAGAACTATTTTGTTGAGAATTTTTAATTTTGTTTTGTTGCCTTTAGCTTTAGAAATGTCATATAAACATGAAAAAACTATCTAATAAACAAATATATTTTGGGAGCAATCTAAGAAAGCAAACAGGGAGCTGAGAAAAAAACAGTGACATCAAATCAATTGTGCAAATATCAACAAACCTAAGTGTACAGTGGTTGACAAAAACTATGATTAAATTTCAATTTTATGTAGAACAATGCATAATCTTAAAAGTTTGAAACAATTCACCCAGAAGTTTTTAAATTTATAATAAATTAAACTTGTGTCCTAAAATTTGGACATTGGCCCTTATTGGGTCAAAGCATAAAGATAGAGAATATTACCAAAGAACAAAATAAAACATACACTGTCACTACGTGAGATATAATTATACCACAGTAACATACACTTTCATCAAAAGAAGGTATAGTTATACCACAGTAACATACCCTTTCATCAAAAGAAGGTATAGTTATACCACAGTAACATACCCTTTCATCAAAAGAAGGTATAGTTATACCACAGTAACATCACT